AGGCTACTGCTTTAATATTTCAGCAATAGAAGTTAGGAGTCAGAAACTACGGAATTTGAAACTTTAGAAAAGACAACCATATTTTACTGAAGGCAAGCACAATAGCTATAGTAATTATACTAATCTTTTAAGAAGGATTTTGAGGTTGCTCCATTAACTCACCCTCCTTGACTTTTTGAATTGTACTTGTACAGAAAACAAAGAATGCAATTAAAATAACTTTTTCTCCAAATTCTGTCCCTTAAAGAAAACATAGTATGTAAGTTTGTTACTGACATGTGTCTGTAGCCTATGGTTACCTGCAGCATAAGAGAGTTTCCTTATTTATCCCTTTTTATTTTTGAACGTTTTTGCTTTGTCCATAAACCCTAAACTACAGCTGATGCTCCTTTCTCCTTAGTGATCAGTATGCTTCCTGCTATCCACAAAAAAGGAAAGAACAACAGAGTTATTAATAACAGAGTGGAAAGAACTGGTCTTAAGAGACTGGAGAGGTCTGGATTTGAATTCCATCACTTACTATGAACATAAGCCTAGGGAAATAACCTTTGTGAACCCCAGCTTCCTCATCAACAAAATGGCTAATACTCTGAGGTAAGAACAAAAGTGTTGCTGTAAATCTCAAACCAGCTAAATGCATGTGAAACCCTCTGGGCATACCTAAATAAGCTCATAAATGGCTGCTGCTGTCATTGGACCTCCATGATCTTCTCCCTTCTCTGAGCCCTCCCTTTCTTTACTTAGGGGATCAGACGAGATAATCACAGGAAGGTTCCCTGAAGTTCTAAAGCTTTGGATTCTATGACTGGAATAAAAGGAGAACAAGCAAGCTGGGCTGGAGTTTTCTAGTGGGAAGTTACAGATTCCCAGATCATGTCAAATCACTCGATGATAAATTTTTTTTTGGGGGGGGAAGGGGGTTAAGTGACTTGCCCAGGGTTACCCAGCTAGTAAGTGTCAAGTGTCTGAGGTCACATTTGAACTCAGGCCCTCCTGACTCCAAGGCCAGAGCTCTATCCACTGTGGAAGTATAAACTTTTCTGAGCATTTGTCATATCCAGTGCAGGTAGCCACGGGTCTCTATTTTGTTTCCTATTGAGATTTTCTCCAAGTTTTAACCTGTAGACCAAGGAGGCCCTAATCAAATATGCAGGGAAGTAGTGGCTCCAGAGACTTCTCAAAGCTGTTCTAAGTGTTAAACTCACAAGTGGGGCTGTGTCACCGCTCTAGGTTCACCTGGGGGTGCTAGAGAGCAAGTGTCAGCTGGTGACTAAGTTGAGATTCATGCCTTAAGCCCAAACATGGATTTGTCATTTGACCTTTCCTTGCTTTTTAAAGAAAATCCCCTTCTTCTCCCTCAAGGGCAATACTGACAATCAGAAGAAACATGGTTTGGTGATTTGTAGATGCTCTTTTTTCCCTACCTTCCATCCATCATAAGCAGATACTTTGCCACCATGTTGGCATTTTAATGTATTTAAAAAGACATAATGATAATGGTGAAAAGGATGCTCAGCTTGGGTGGAGAAGTCCTGGGTTCTGCTCTGATCATGTTTAGTAAGTCACCAGCCACTTTAAGCCTCATCTGCAAAATGGGGGTGAGAGGCAGCTTGGCATAATGGATAGTGACCCAACTTGCAGGTCAAGCTAATGTCTTGGGGCTATAGGAAACTATTTAAGACCATAAGATGTGCAACAGATGCTGATCTGCTTTGGTGGTACCTGCAGTACCTAACTCATCCAATTATTTTAAGAACCAAATGAGACAATGTGGGGAAGATGCTTGGTAAATCCCTAAAGCACTCTACATAGCTGTTACTATTATTTGCTACCTGGGTAACCTTGGACGAATTGCTTAACCTCTTTGGGCATGTTCCTTCATGTGCCAAATGAAAGAGTTGGACAAGATGATTGCTAAGGACCCCTTCAAGACCCTATAAAATTAAATCCATGCTGTTGGTTAACAGACAAGCCCCATTCACCACTCTCTAACATGAATTTTGTAATGTCATAAGGTTAACTTCTTCACAGTGGGAAGGGAGGTGCACCTCGTAATCAATATCTACCTAATGTACTCAGTCAATAAAGAGAAGCATTTATTAAATGCTTACTATGTGTCAGGTATTGTGCTAAAAGCTGAGAATAAAAAGAAAGGGGAAAAAATAAAAACTCCCTGACCTCAAGCAGTACATTTGAATGGGGTGACAATATCTAGGAATATCTCATATACACACACACGCACACACACACACACACACACACACACGTATACACACATACACATAGCCATGTACATGCATGTATGCATGTACACTGAGTCGATGGAATGCAATCTGAAAGGGAAAGTCATTAGTAGTTGGAGGACTGAGAAATAATAGCTGGCTAGCTAGCATTTATATAGCACTTTAAAGCCATCTCGTTTGATTCTCACAGCAACCCTACAAGGTAGGCGCTATTATTATCCCTATTTTACAACAGGAGAAAACTGAGACTAAGAGGTAAAGTGATTTGCCCAAGGTCATGGACCCAGAAAGTAAGTCTCTAAGGTATAATTTTTATTCAGGTCTTCCTGATCAAATGAGATAATGTTTGTAAAGTACTTAGCATAGTCAGCAGAATATTTGCTGTTGCTGAGTCATTTCAAACATGCTTTTGTGACTATTTGGGATTTTCTTGGCAAAGATATTGGAGTGGTTTGCAATTTCCTTTTCTAGTTCATTTTACAGATGAGGAAACTGAGGCAAACAGGGTGAAGTGACTTGCTCAGGGTCACACAGCTAGTGTCTGAGGCTAGATTTGAACTCAGTTCTTCCAGCTGAAAGGCCGCTGTGCCACCTAGATACCTGCAGGGAACATAGTAGATGCTTCTTCCTTCCTTCTTCCTTGACTTCAAATCCAACACTCTTATTCAAGGTTTGAGCTGAGCCTTGAAGAAAGTCAGGGAAACTAAGGGGCAGAGGTAGGGGAAGAAGGTTCTCTGACTTAAATGAATGCTGACGGTCCTTCCTCCCTCCCTCCCTTCCTTCCTTCCAGTCTAACACTCTATGTAGGATTTCAGCTTATTCTTTGAAACTACGGGGCAGAAGTGAGGGAAGAAAGCTCTCTGAACCAAAAGGATGTTAATGATATTTCACAACTAATACGCTTTCTCCCACTACTAGAATATCACGAATTTACTTCTAATCTTTTGTATCTAGCAGAACAAAACGAATATTAAATACATGAAGAAAAGGGGGAAGGAGAGCAGAAAAGTAGGTGCCCCAGAAGCAGTCCTTCTGGGCAATGATATGAATGGTCTTTATAAAAACAACTAATGTACGGATAGAGCCAAACCTCCCTTTCAATGTCAGCTCTCTGTCCTGAGTAATGGAGTAGGTATGGAGATCCTATGGCCTGCCATTCTATGAACTGTTTTGTTTTCTTTTTTAAACTAAGTAACCAAGGCTTGTTTTTACTTTCTTTTAGGGATGTCATTTGGGATGAATTTCAGTTAAAAAGAAAGTTGTTGTTTTTTTTTTTAAAGGAAGTGGGATTTCTGTTAGGAAAATAGCTGGAATCTGTAGATGAAGGCAAACCAAACTTAAAAGGATCAGTGTTGGCCCAATATATGTATATACACACCAGCTAAAGGGCTGGGGGTGGGGGGGGTGAGACATGGGGGAAGGAGTCAATATAGCTGACTTGTTAAAACAGGGATCACAAATAGCAGGAAATGCCATCTGATCTAATGCTTCATATGCTATTTTGCACCAAAAATTGTCTCTCTCCCAGAGAAACAGAAGTGTAGAAAAGCAGTGATGAGAAAACATTTGAAGCATATTAGGGAGTGTGTGTGTTTTATAAAATAAAGATGAACATGAATGAAATCTTGAAAAAAAAATTTTTTTACCCCAGGCTGTGAATTCTTCTAGAAAATCTGTGTCCTTATGTCATAATCAAAGAGAAAGCTAAAAATGTGGTTCCCAAGAGGACATATGGTAAATCTCAAGTTCTCTGTAGCTCCCCCCAAAGGGGCCTCTGTGACGCCTCTATGTGGCTGTCCCTAAAGCAGTAGTGTCTTCAGAAAAATGTTCCTGAGCCTCGGATGGTAGTACACATTTTGATTCCCATGGGAGAAGCCCCTCTCTGACTATGAACTGGAGGAGATATTAGCTTCCCTCCAAATTGACAGAACTCTGAAGCAAAATCAGAAACACACATTTAGCATTTATTTCAAGGCAAGGAAGGCAGTTGTCGACGAAAAGTGTGACAAATTCTTCCTGCTCTGAGTGATTAAGACTTACCTTGCAACTAAGGTTAAGCTAAAGCTCTATTTAACTAAAATCTCATAACCTAAGTTTAAGCTTGGTCTGACATAAGTGACACAGGCTCGTAGGTCATAGTCTTAGAGGTAAATGGCACCTTACAGACCATCAAGTCCTATCCCCTCATTTTACAGATGGAGAAACTGACACACAGTGAGGTTAAGGTCTTGGCTAGCATCACAAGGCTAGAAGGTGTCTGAGACATATTTGAACTCAAGTCTTTCTAATTCTATGTCCACTTCCCTACCCAATATGCCATGATAGCTTTAATCAGACAATACTTAAAAACCTGGTTAGTCTTTAGCTATAAAATATTTATAGTGGAAATGTTGCATAAACATATAAAACATCATTAAGATTGTCAAGTATAATATGTATTCTACCCAACAAAAGAAGGGTAAGCTGTAAGTCTCAAATTCAATTTTCTGATCAATCACATTATTTTCTAATTTGAAACTAAATATATACAAGCAAAGACAAGTTTTCATTAAAATAAACTGGGAAATAAACGGTATCCATATAAGATAAAGAAAATAACAACAACAAAAACAACAACAGGTCATCCATGTGGAGTGTGAAAGATGAAATGAGATTTGTTTTTTCACTCGTCAGATGGTCAGAGGTGACTTGTGTACAACGGGCCTTTTTTCTGTGCCCCTTCCTTAATTACTGTTTCACAAAAAGTTCTATTTTTACCTTCTGTAAGTAAAGAACTGTTCCCTTCAGCACAGCATAAAAGGTCTTCCACCCTCGCTTTCCTCTTGGAGCTAAAAAGAAAACAAAATAAATGGGAAAAATCTTACTTGAAGTCAGTTGGCATTTTAGAAAGACAATTAACATCTTTAGCATTTCTCTGTTCAATGTGGTGATTCAGATTCAAAGTGCACCATTTGCTGCAGGAGACAAAATAAACCCCCCACATGGTGGATAAGAAAGTGACTTACAGAATTTATTTTTCAGAGACAGCATTCCAGGGTACAGCAAAAGCTGTCGGGGAAAGAGATTTGGCACAGTCATTCGAGACAGAACTTTGTGCGTTACTGGGAAGTAACCAGAAAAAAACGAAAGGACAAGTAACCAAAGAGTGTCTTGGGCCAGCAGGGCCCGGCCTTTTTGTAGCACCCAGACCTGTTGCTGGAGTCTTTTCATTTTTTCCTAAATGCTTAAGGCTGACAATAAACCCACTTCAGAGCTGTAGTTTTAAAGCTATGAGGAACTCTAGAGGTAGTCCAACCTCTTCTTTTATTTTACTTTATTTTTTTTTAAGTTGTATGGATAAAAACAAGTTTTATGGATGCCTTGTGTTTTTTGTCTCACAGTTGTGCCTGCAGACCTTTCTTCCCATTGAATCCCCGTGATAAAGTAAAAATTTACAAAAATTTACCCAAAAACAAACAAAAAAACCCCAAAACCAGACAACCTTGTGGGTCTCTCAGTGACCTAGCAATAGGAATGAGGTGTTTAACCATCTAGAATACTTCAACAAATCAAAAAGCAGAAGCCTGGAGAAAAATCTTTTAAAAATAATTTTTATTGTTCTTTATTAATAGCTGGCCAACAATAATATTTTAAGATCAACTTTATTTTCAACCTATTATGAATACTATTATCTAATGCTATTATCATCTAATAGTTTTATTAATAATAATGAGAATAATAATTATTATTTTATTTGGACCTGTGACTTGATAGGAGTAGGGCCTGAACCTGTGAATTCAGTGATTAAAGAGAACTCCAGGGTGAGAAAATGCCTTCTGCTGATACAAGTTGCACCTTTTCTCCCACTTGGATTCAATCAATAAACATTTATTAAGTGCTAAGCCCTGCACTAAGTCTGGAATCTTAGAGGGCTGCCCAGCATCCCTGGCTTCCTTCTGGTCTCAGCTAAAATCCTTTCTTCCAGAATCTCTCCCTAGTCCTCCTCAATCTCGGTGCTTTCCCTCTGACACTACCTTCAGTTTATCCCATATGTAGTTCGTGTGTAAAGAGATGTTTTCATGTCATCTCCTCCATCAGACTGTAAGCTCCTTGAGAGCAGGGACTGGTTTGGTTTGGGTTTTTAAAAAATTTTCTTTGTATCCCCAGTGCTTAGCACAGTGCCAGGCACTAAGAAATGCTAGCTGATTAAGAGCATCGGGAGGTTAAGTAGTAAGCCCTGGGGCACACTGCCACTATGTGTCAGAGGGATGATGTTCTCAGTGCAGAAACTCTTCCTGAGGCAGATCTCTGTACTTCACAGTCTTAAAGAGTTTTCTGGGGAAATCAGAGGTTTAGTGAAATGTCCTTGGTACCATAGCTACCATGGCATGGGATCCTAGAACTAGGAGACCCCAGAATCCATGGACTCCAACCCATTCATGTTATAGATGAGAAAAACTGAGGCCCAGAAAGGTTAAGGGACTCACAAAGTGACACAGGTAGTACATGGCAGGGCCAGTATTTGAATCTACGTCCTTTGATACCTGTCAGAGGCAAGAATTTGAACTCAGGGTCTTACTGGCAGAGGTAAAAATTTGAACTCAGGGTCTTACTGGCAAGATATTGTCAGTATATACCCATTAGGCTATGTTATGCACCTGTTACAATGATATTATAAGCAACAGCATTACAGAGGCATTTACAAACAAAGCAGCAAATTTCTTTCTTTTTTTGGAGGTAATTGAGGTTAAGTGACTTGCCCAGGGTCACACAGGCTAGTAAGTATCTGAAGCTGGATTTAAACTCAGGTCCTCCTGACTCCAGAGCTGGTGCTCTATCCACTGAGCCACCTAGCTGGCCCAAAGGAGCAAATTTTGAAACAAAGTTCTCAAGTCCTTATCCCTTACTCTAAGTCACATCTTTGTCATAAAAGAATATATCAATAAGTCTTCTAGAATTAGGAACAATGTCAGATATAATAGTTCCCTCTGAAAGACGTTGCACAACTTTAATTTTCCCTTTTACTTATTTACACTAGAGAGGGCTAGGGGAAGTTTTGATTGATCACATTTCCATTGAAGAAACTCAACAGTTTTGTTTTGAAACCCATTCTTTTTTGTTGTTTGTTTGTAACTTTGCAAAACTGTGGAAACTAATTCTTAAAATTTGGTAGCTGAAAACACACTGGGCATCACAATCATAAGAAAACAACACAAATTGGAGATAATAATACTAATGATAGCTAAGAGAGCACTTTCTAGTTTACAAATTGCTTTGCTCGCAACACGCCTGAGACAAAGCCAATTTTAAAATTATCAGCTTCCTTTGAAAAATGAGGGAAAATGAAATCCAGAGGAATCACATGATTTGCCCACAGCCACACAACTAGGAAAGACAAAGCAGGCCTCAAAACCCAAGCGTTCTAACTCCAAACCCACTGATAGCAAACACACTCCGACTGCCTTCCAACCTGTTGCCATATGTGTCTTTCTTCTGTACTTGGGACATGGACAAGAGTTGAATTTGTGGATGTCTGTCTGAAAGTTTGAAACAGAAGTCTTGGTTTTTAGCCCTGTAGTTTAGCTATTCCTTATTTTATTCATTTTTAAGCAATGGTTACTGACACAAAAAATAGTATTTGTAGCAAAACAAAACCCCCAAAATATAAAGAATAGGGGGTGTCTGGGTTCAAATCTTGTCTCTTGATTCTTACTACTTTCCTTTGTAACCTCAGGCAATTCACTTGATCTTTCCAGGCCTCAGCTCCATTATCAGTAAAATGAGGGGTAGATGGCTTCTGAAATCTCTTCCAGCTGTAGATATATGCCCCTATGCTAACAATAATATTATATGATAAGCTGCTGGCACCTCTATCACTAGCATATTTAATGACTCAGAAATGAGGACCATAAATTAAATTAAATTTAAATTCCATAAATTAAAAACAAATTTTTTTTTTTAAAAAAGAAAGAAGAACCAAGTTTTGGGTTCAAATGATATATCAGGACCCAATCCCTGACAGGTCTATTAATATGGGTTGCAGAAGTGTTTAACATTAGGTCTACAATGGATTATTTTAAAAAGATAGAGACCTAATAAATGCATTGAATTCTAAAAAGCCTTTAGTGACCACATATCTCTTACTCAACATCAGAGAATTCATGGTGAAGAGAAGCCATGAAAAGTACATATATGTGGAAAAACCTAAGGCTATGGCTTTGAGTCAAGCTACTTCCTCATTCTTAAAATAAAAAGGTTGAACCTTAGAGTTCCTTCCAGTTCTAAATCAATAATCTTATTATCAAGGGGAATAATCCTCAAACACCCAGAAAAAAGGAAAATGAAGGCTCAGCCTATCTATATCCACCTGGTCAATTTAACTAAGAGTGACAAAAAGGGAGAACTCATCCCTTACTCTAAATCCTGAAATTCATACTCGAGAGTGCATAGACAGATCATATGTCAAAAAAAAAAGCCTATAAATGTTGAGATCGGGAAGAAATCATAGAAATATAGTGAATGTTTGATCTGAAGCTCAACTCTTTACTCTACACATTGGGCTAATTTATAAAAGGAGAGATGATGTCAAGTCCTTTAGGGATCACAGCTTTATAACTGGAAAGAACCTCAGGCCATCTAGCCTAACTCTCTTGATTTTAGAGATGGGGCAACAGAATGAGTTAGCTGAATTCATACACCACCCATGACTGATGATGATGACAGGGCAGATGGGTTTGCTCTGTGTGTGTGTGTGTGTGTTTCGTGGATAAAAGTTTTGGTCTTTGTGGAACTCCTTGTTTGATCACTGGGTTCCATGGTACATAGAAACCCTGTTTCTGATGTACTGAAAAACAATGAAACTGGCTCCCATATCATGCATGTTATTATTAATTCCTTCCTAGCTCCATCAAAGATCTGTGGGAAGAGAACTCAGAAGAATACAGGTCCTCCCTGCTATGGCTATTTGGCAAGTATGATGGTTGGCAGTTTAAAAAATGCAGGATTAAAATGGTCAGTTCTTCCACCTTTATATTTACATGTCAAACACTGACTTTTTTTCAGAAGTTTTAGATGTATTAAAACTTCAGCTTAGAAACAAAAGAATAATTTCCTTCTTGGTTTATAGAAGGTCTTGGAGACTGTCCAATGCAACAGAACATATTATAATAAAAAATCTATAATTTATTAAAAAGTAAATGTATTTTTGGAATTTTATCAGAAATGTTACTTATTAATGATAGTAATCCTTTATAACAAGTACAATGCTTCAATTTTCAAAATACTTTAACATTTATTGTCTCACTTAGTATGCTGGAATTATAGGTTTAGAGTTGGAAAGGATATTAAAGGACATTTAGGTCAACATCCCCTCATTCCACTTCACAGATGAGGAAACTGATGCTCAAAGAAGTTAACTGACTTGCCTAAGGTCGCAAAGGAAATTAGCAGAATCAGACTCCGACCCTAAGTTCTCTGACTCCAAACGCAGTCTTGTTTCCACTTCACCACATGGGTTCTCACAACTCTCTCAAGTAAAATATAAACTCCCTGAGGACAGGAGCTTTGCTACTTTTGTCTTTGTAACCTCTATGCCTAGGACAGTGTCATACATATAACAGGAACTAAAGAAATTCTTACTGAAATGTTGAAATGGTAAAGTAGGTAGAACAAATAATGTGATTCCCATTTCACAGATAAAGAAACTAAAATAGAGATTTTTAATTAATTTGCTCACATCCAAATGGCAAATTATTGATAGAGACTAGACAAGGACCTGGGTCTTTGGACTTTTATCCTTGTCTCCTTTTGTATAAATTGGCTGAGTAGTCATCACTTATGCCTAGGTTTA